CCATCCACGGTCGTTCGCACGCCTCTTCTTACGGTAGCGTTGAATATTTACGGCCTCAACTATGACGTCACTCCCCCTGTGGTGATTGTGCATCTCCTGTACGTAGCGCGCTTACTCTAAATCTTTTTTCCCCAACTTTAGCAAGTATCCTATCTGCACACCTCCCCTCTTTACCAAAAGTATGTAGTTTTTCTCCCTGGTGTCGTATACCTATCATCGACGAAGACGTCACGGGTAAGACGACACCTGGATAAACATTGGCAGCATTTAAACTTCTTCTAACCGATGCTCCACAGTGTACCCGAGGAAGGCCTATTAAGAAGGCCGAAAACGTTTGTACTCCAGTTAATAAGGCTAGAAATTAGTGAGAAAGGTTTTGTGCTGTTAGTCTTAGAAATAGTTCTAGCTATATATGCATAGTAGTGTTTCACTTGGAAATGATTACTTTCTAAAAATCTCTTAATTTGACTCATATATATATATATATATATTTCCTATTAATAAATATCTTATGTACAATATTTTTAAAATTTGTAATTGAAAACTTATATATTACAACAATCTTACATTACTATCATCTGTTAGTTACAATTTGATCATTATGAATATTGCTTTATTGTAAATCTGTACCAGAGCAACAGATTTGAATTTCTTCCATAACAAAATAACTTTGTTCTATTTTGAATACATGGTTGTTTATGATGCATTTGAAAATCATATATATAACAAATCTAATAATCTGATTTTAATTAATCCCAAATGATCTGCTGGGCTATATTAAGGCTAACATAATAATTAGCCTTAATATAGCTTATGATAGGTAATCCAGCCAATTGTTTGACATTAATGGAGTAGGAATATATAGAAAAAATAGCTCAAATGATTTTCAAATACATCATAAACAACCATGTATATATCCAAAAAGTAACACCAAAAATAAGATTAATACTCAAAAACATAACAAATATGGTAAAATATACTTTAAATGTAAGGTGACCAGACGTCCCAATTTTTAACAATTTGTCCTGCGTCCCGTAGTGTTTTAAAAAGTCCTGACTTTTTGAAAGGATTAAATTTTTGTCAGTTATGTGTCATAAACTTGCATCTTATGTTGTTCATATCATGGAGCAAAAATATGTTCAAATTTCATGTTGTATCCTGAAAATTTTGTATGCTGGGGCGTTCGTATCCTGAGGTACCACTGTATTTGTAATTTAGTTACCTCATTGGAAGTGACTGAATCATGAATAACAACACATAATGGTTCCAAACTGGTTTAACCATTCTTAAAATATTATTAACATATATCTTGGTTAACTGACATTTAGAGAATCCTATCAATGGACATGTGAAATTAACTTTAATTCTGAATTTAAAATATTAAACTTTAACACTTTTTAATCCTTACTCAATCTTCAACTTTATTCAACTTTTAAAATCAATGATATAACAAGAAAATGTTAAAAACTTCTAAAGGTGAGTGTTTTTATTAATAAAGCAATTAATATTTATTCAGTTGATATCAAATAAGTTATATTTAATTTTAAACTAAAGAAACCTTAATTGTTCTAAAAGCAAAATTACTTTTCATGAAACTGACCAGATATATAACTTTGTTAAAATACGTCTGACTCAAACCAAATTTTTGTATGAAAGTCATTATTAAAAACAAAACAAACTCAAGGTACAAATAGGGAAATAGATAGGGCAGGTGTCATGGATGTCATAAGGGAGGCAGTTGCCAAGAGAATAGAATGTATAATTATTTGAATTACAAAATTATTTGAAAAAAATAAACTATAAAGCATAATTTGTTGGTGCCTGGTAAGGGAACACCAAGAGGAAGGTGTGTGTAAAGAGGAAGGCAGATCAGCATACTGACTCAAGTTATCATGTCTCAAACCTCTAGAAAAGAGGAGGATATCAGAGATCCTAGTTGCTGTCCTGATAAACTTATTAACCGTTCCGCCTTTTCACTTTATTGTATGATAATATATAAAATCTTAACATAAATATAGTTGTGTTTTAACTCATTTATAAATGGACAGGAGGCTGTTCTCTGTTATAAATTGTATTGTATATAATTGTTAGGAGTATTAAGTACTGGGGTTGGATGTCACGCCAACAGTTATTTCAATCAAAACTTCTTCCAAAACTTCAGACTATGAGGCGTTAAATATAATTAAAAATATTTTATTCTTGCGAGTGCAAGAATTTTATAAGTTTTTGTTAAATATGTCTTCTTTATTAATTAATGTAAAAAGTTTATTATTCAGTCATCTTTGCATAGCACGTGAAACTTTAAAATGAAATTATTCTATTCTAAAAGTTTTCTGGAGAAAACATTGTATATCATTAGTTGGCAATCAGAATCTAATATCTGCATTTCCTAAAATTTTACAGGAGAGCTAAAAAATGTTGTTTCAAGAGAGCAAAATTTTGAGTAAACATACCACTTATGATGTTATTGGCAATATACAAAGATAGACTTTACAACACATTAACACAAAAATGTGGTTTTGACTCATTATTGGAGATACAAGATTTTAATTGCCAACTGATGATATGTTGAAAACATTTGAGACTATTAATTAGTGCACATCATTGTAATTTTTGAAAATTTTTTTATTTTATCATCAAATTTGTGAAAGTATTAATGTTAAATGAAATACAGAATTTTATTCTCTGCCTAAAATGGTTAATTTAGAAATAATCTTTTCTTTGTTAAAAATTATTTTCATAGTTTGTCTCAAAAAAAAAACAAAAAATTATTCTAAAAAAATTTAATTGTAATCTTACTTTTACTAACTGTTCTTTAAAATACATAATGCTAAACTTTTCAAAAATATTGAAAAAAGGTTACTCAAGTGATCAGTATTAAAATAATCCCTGATGTCAAAGTATTATCTTAATAGACTTCATAGAAAAAAGTAATTTCCAATGTTTCAAAGATTTAAAATGGCATCAAGTTCTAATAGAAATAAACTATGAGAGCTCTTCTTTCTATTAGAACTTGATGTCATTATATGAGAAAACAATATAATTTCACAGAATGTTTAGTTTACATTAATTACTAGAATATCCATCAGAATAAATTTTGTGTGATATAGTTTACATTATTCAAAAATTCAATAGAACAACCATAATTTTCTATATAATTTTTTAATTATTATAATATAGAATAATTTAATATTTGTCCATTTTATTTTATTTAGGCAGAAAACTTACTTTTAGATTCCAATATGAATATAAAGATTGCAGGTAAGCTTTTATAAAAAAAGTTATCAATGCTTATACATTTTTTAAAAAATTTAGTCTCATGAAATAAATATTTAAAAATACATACAGGTATATCAAAATTTATTATTATTACCTAAAAATGTAAATAGAGATAAAAGTCATTAACTTTGAGTGATTATACACTCATTGCCATAAAAATTAGTGCACAAAGAAAGAGTTGTTGGAATCATACAAAACTTTGCATGTGTGAATGTAATGGTGATAGAAGTTAATGATTACAAGATAAAAGCAAAAGAATCATTTATTGCAGGAAAAACTACAAATGAAAAAGGTTCTAGTACCCTGTTGGGTCACCTCTAGTGTGAATACATGATGTGATGTGAGTGGGCATGGAGGCATACAGGTGCTGTATGGTGTCCTGTGGCATTTCAGTCCACAGTTGTTGCAAGTAATCCTCTAGTTCAGCTAAACTCCTAGGCTGTCCAACTTGGCATCCCAGATGATTCCAGACATGTTCGATTGGTGACAAATCAGAGACTGGTCAGGCCAGGGAAGTGTAGCAATTTGGCTGAGGCAGTCCTGTAACACCCTTGCTGTATGTGGTCAAGCATTGTCCTGTTGGAAAATGGCTCTTGGAAGCCCTGATGTGAGAGGCAACACATGTGGCTGCAGGATGTCACTAACATTCCACTGGGCTGTTATGGTCCCTTGGATCACTACTAGAGGTGACCAACTGTCATATGTGATTGCACTCCAGATCATCACACCAGCTGTAGGGCAGTGTGCCACTCCACAGTGTAAGCAGGATTGAGGCATTCACCATGGGCCTCCAGACACAAACATGGCCATCATCATTGCCCAAACTGAATCTGGATTCATCATTGTAGATGATCCCGTTTCATTCCATTGCAGTCCAATCCTGTCAGGAGGAACACCACTCCAAACGAAGGCAATAGTGGGTGGTGTCAATGGCAGCACATGTGTGAGAATATGGAAATTCAGGAGAGGGTCATTCTGAAAATTAACAAAGTTGAGAAGAAGAAGAAAAAATTACAACGAATTTTACAAAAATGGATGAAACTTTTGATTCTGAAAGGAAGTTGATTTCCTTTCCCAGGCCGACTCATGATGAGTCACATGAGTTTTTGCACACTTTACTGGAGAGCAAATAAAAGGGACATTTTCCCGCCACTCGAAGCAGTCCATCGAAGGAAGGTATTGCCACACGAAGAAGTCCGACATACAATAAAGGCAGTCCATTGAAAGGAGGTTTTCCATACGAAGAAAGATATCGTCATAAGAAAAATATTGTCATACAAGGCTGTTATACAAATCCGAAAGGAAGTCATAAAAACATAGTACTACATTCAAAGTATACAAGATTGATAAAAGAGAAGATTTAAAAGAACTGTCCATAGAAAATATAAGAAGAGAAATAACCAAGAAAGGAAGAAGACCCTCATATAGATACAGAGAATATATGTGAACGCTCTCTCACGCGTTAGATTTAGAAATAATCTTAGGTTAAGATTTAGGATTAGGATTAGGTTAGATTCATTCTTTTGGTTAATATTAGCTATTCATACTCATTCGTCTTTAAATTTCCTTCATTCCTCTTACTCACAAGTTAGGGATAATGCATGTTAATCCACGTAGTATAAATCTGATTAACTGGTGTCGGGAATCCTGACAGAAGGAAAAGGGTGATTATGCAATCATCTAATTCCGCTTTAAATTAACATTCAAACTGTAAGTCCCTCCACACTCGATTTCCTTGAATTAGGAAAACCATCCTTGTAAGACAAACAGAGGGCTATTCGAGAGAATAGTTGCCGATTAAGCGGTGCACGAGCTTAACTACTCCATATCCCCATCTAGCCCCTCACACATGTAATGGCTACCGCAATAGCAAATGTTCCTCACTCAGGCAACTTGTAATGATATGGACTGACATAGGGGCCTGTAATGATGGTACCATCTGTGTTCAGATGTTAAACAATGATATGGTTGGCTGAGTGCATGCTTGTTGGAGGACCAGCCGTCCTCTGGGCTAGTGGTCTGCCAAGGGAGTCCTGAGCCTGGGGACCCATGTGTGTGAGTTCTCTCTCATTCATTGGTCCCAACACCTCCTTGCAGTGTTGTCAGAACAGCCTAGGTGGCAGGCTATTCAGCGAGATGACCATCTGGCTTCTCTCAACCCGATGATCTTTCCCCTCTCAAACTTGGTTAGTTGTTCATATCATCTTCAATTGTGATGTAAAGGCATCAATGATCTGTTGCAGAGGGACACTGTATATAGTGATACAGTGTTCCTCTGCAACAGGTAAACTTCAGACAGGATGCCTTTGCATGTTTTTTTATAGGCCCAGGGGATGCACTTTAATGCCCTCTGCTTGCATTATACAATGAGCCATCACACTGTAACAGTAATAATTTCCACGTGACTTGAGACTTATCTGCATGCCAAGTTTTACAGTGATACTTCTTGGTGCAGTAATTTTTATGGCAATGAGTATATAATAAAATTATAAAAGAAGGAATCAGACTGTTGAATGTTTTAATTAGTAATTTCTAATGGTTAAGATAAAAATCTCATCCATTATAAATTATCAGTACATTTGAAGAATTCTTACAGCCAGATAAACTCCATATAATTGTTGGTATAGAATCAAATAATTAAAATAAAAATTTAAGATATAAAATTATCTTACAATAATGAAGGTAAATACAAGTAATATACTGATATAAGGTATTTACAAAATATTTCATGTTTTGGTAAATATTGCAGCTAGAATATCTTGCACCCATGTGTAAGTCCTAGTTTTGTTCCCCTTATGAATTAGTGCAAATATACTGTGAATTCCTATTTTTTGATAACCATTGAAACTCCTTTGAATTGCGTATGGATGGTATGAAACTCTTGCAATTTTGTTAGTCTATTAGTCCATACAAATTTATTCCTTACAGGATAAGCAGCTCAACACCTTTGCATACACCTGATTGTGAAATACAATATTATCCATATCCTGTAAACGTATAATGCCAGTGTTAATATTTGGACTGTTGGAGCTCTCAATTTTACTTTTTTAACACATATTTTGTTTCATTTTTTATCATTTCATAATATAAATCAAGAATGTCTTGTGGAAACTTTCATCAAGGGACACCAAATGTGCTGCACATGCACTTGTGACAGACCTGGTCTTGGTGATGTATTGGTTAAACTTTCAGTTTTTAAAAGTTTCATTCTATCCATTTGTGTACACCGGAATTTAAACTCACAAAAAATGAACTCACATACATTTTTCCTTTCTATAAAATGACTCTCAGAGATTTATTTAGAAGCCAACTGTTATTTTATCAAGTGTCAGCTCTTATTTTCTATAAAGAACTAAGTTTATTGATTCTTAAACCCCAGTCATTGGATGTTGTAAGATCTATGTGCTAGATTGACAGTTTTCATTGTAACAAATTTGAATACAGTGTGGAAAAAAACATTAACTTGAAAAAGTGATGAGCAAAAGAAAACCTACAATCTTGGAAAAATTTCCTTCTTCCTTTGATGATGATGAGGCATTCTGATGGCTGAAGCAGTTAAGATGTCTGCCTATCAGGAAATCCAGGTAGGGAATCCAGGAACAAACTTGTCCATTCCAGATATGTTGAATCCTGTCCCTTACTATCCTGCCACCACCATCATTTCCACTGGTAGTGATGGATATGATTAAAACGTGATGTCTTACAGTATAAGGACAGAAAGAGAGAGGGAAAAAAAACTGAAAACAATTCAAATTACAATTACTGTTACCAACTTCTCATGAGGAAAAAGGAATAATTTAAAATAAAAAATCTCCTTGTCTATTTTTCAGAACATTTATTTGTTTTCTGAACAATTTAAAAAAAAAAAACTGAAATTTTGAATAGTTAGAAATCTTACTATGTGCAAATTCCTTAGAAAAATCAACAATGATGGCATTAACAAAAATTACTTTATCTATCTTACCACTTATTTTACATTTGTAATGCAATCATTTCCAACAAAAGTCATAATGCCACATTATCACCCTGCCTGCCATCCTGGGCTTGTCTCCCCAAATATCAAATACAGTGAAATCTAATTATTATAATCATGACTAATGTTATCAATGGGCTATTGCTATCATAATCAGTCAGCCCCAAAACACTATATAAAATTAGTTAAAAATAATCTGTCTATTATAATCAAACTTGGCTATTGTTATCAGCTGTGCTAGAGAGAAGCAATAAGAAAATTTGCACTACTGTAAATGAACCTTTTCTTCAAAACTTACTTTTAACAAAAGCATACCTTTTATCTTTTACATCCTGTACACATAACAATTTGTCATCCTGTACACATAACAATTTGTCATTAAAAATATCAAAATGATCTTCTTACCTTCAAACACTACATCATTAATTCAGTCATGTGACCATAAAAACTTTAAAAGCTTATTACTGCATGCAAATTCATGCTCAAATTATAGCTGAACTTGCATCATATTGAACTTCAATTTCATCAAGTGCAATTGTAAAAGATTTCCCTTCTTGTTGCATAGCATTTGCTAGCAATGTCATGGAAGCAAGTCTCAGAAAAAAACCATTGAAAACTGTTTCCAAAAAGGTGGATTTTCTAAACTAAATGCTTAAACTCCTGCTTCTGAAAAACTAAATCTTACAGTTTAAATTTGTAAAAAATTCCAGACTATATGTCTAAAGACTAATTTGGAACTCAGGTGGATATAGATGGCAATATTGAAGTGACAGTTACAATGACTATCAGAAATATGTCAAGATGTTGTTGATGATGACTCCAAATTACCAGAAGAAAATGATCTATCCTATTTACAGAAGAGAAAATTTCAGAAGTTTTTCCAACTGATGCCCAGATGTAAGTAACTCTACAAATTCTTTGTCATAGCAGGCAATATAGAGTAAAACATTTTGAAAAGCATTGATTATGAGAATTATATTCAGAAGCAAATAAATGCAAACAAATGATA